TGCCAGCTCATTGCAAAGCAACCAGGTCCATGCTAAAGTCCAACACATGAGCTGCACACCTGGGAAGTACATCTGAAAACAAATCAGTTATGCTGCGTCAGCTGCTTTACATATTTTGTTCCCAGCACTCCCAGTCAACAGCTTTCCTAGCAAAAAAGAATAAACCCTAAACAATTCTGCTTTGCTCTGTTCAGAAAAATAACACACCCCCCCCAAACCTCCACCCAAGCTCTGTTTACACCAAACCTGCTGCAGCCCTGAATAGTAGCAATAAATGGAGTGAGCTAATGTGTTTGTGACAAATAACCCGTTCAAACAATTCAAGCATAATTATAGGCTGGCTCTCCTCATGTAACGTTGAGTACATCACTGCAGATATTACATTCACCTTATGAAAAGATTGCACAGAGGAGCTCAGTTGGTAACCCAAACAGCATTATATATCACTAGCCTGTCAGCAGCAGGAGTGCATGCACCCTGGCATTTGAAGTCCTGGTGTTTTAAGTGATAATCCAATGTACCAGGCATCATTGATCTCTATATAAAAGGGGGCACCACTTTTCCTTTCAACTGGAGCTATTTTTCACTTCTCATCCTGAAGAGTTGTGTGGTGCTGCCCGCAAGTGGCTACACTGCACAGCAGCTCTATCTGTAGCATTCCGGGTCCCCGGAGAGAAAAAATGATCAATACTCCAACGCTGCTTTTCTAAGAGGTCTCTAAGTGCTTCCATGCGAGATGCTGCTCCTCTGGGTTTAGAAATTACTCTGAAGAGAACATGAAAGCCCCCACTGCAAATTCATAATCCTGACACAAACCCCAGCTGCAGCAAGGAATTAAAATTAAATTCATTGGTGAACCGCAAGCCGGTCTATCAGCAAAGGCGGCGTCTGTGATGTGAGGAAGGGACCTACAAAAGAGACCAATACCTGGAGGCTGAGGGAGCGGGAAAACCATGTTAGAGGAGAACCTGGGGACAAGGAAGTGTCACAACGCCCTCCAAATATGGCCCACAGAACAGGATGAATCTTGACAGGGATTTATAGCTCCTTGGTGGGCCTGGGATGGCAGGGACCCTGAGCAGTGCATCATCTGAGAAAGATGACAGTAATCAGAGAGTCTCGAGAGGAAGACATTTGAAGGGTCAGACTTGCTGTGGGGAGGTGAGCAGAGCCTAGGAGGTCTCTAGAGAACTGTCTGGATAACGACAGTGAACGCAGAAAACAGACTGAATCTTCTATTTCAGCCAAAAGACACTAAACTCCTCACAATTAATTTCTTCCAGGGGGATCTCAAGTTGGCTTTGGCTCTTCCTGCACTTGGGCTAGAAGAAGTCTTTCATGATCTTCTGTAACCTTTATTGATCTCATCCTTCCACTGCCTGGCAGCCCACACGAGTAGGACCAGCCGCACCATGTGGGCAGGCTTCAGGGCAGGCAGCCGGCGCCTCCTCAGCCCTGCTGGGATCGTATTCCTAGATTAGGGACCGGTGAGTGCGTGTTATAAGATGGGATTCATGAGCCATGGTGGATGCGAATGGCCTTGACAGTCTTTTACTGCCTGGCTGGGTTTTGCAATTGGATCCTGTGCAGGGTCAGAGAAACCCAGCCTGAGCAGAGGTAGCGGCAGAAAGCCAGTGCCACCCTCAACACCCAACTCGTGACACAGTCACACCACGGGACAGCTGGCAGGGCTGTCCTCTCCTGGATGTGACTGCACCGGGGCTGTTCCTAATGTCACCCAGCACATCACCGGCCGTCCCCGTGTCATGGCATAGCACTCCCGTTGCAGGACGGCCGTCCCGCAGCAGCCTGGTGCAGCAGCTCAGTGCTCTGTCAATTATATTGACTGATCCCCATTAGGGAGAATTTAAGTAATATGGCTTAAAAATGAGAAAGCAGACCGCGTGCTTCTGCGTGAGGTCAAGTCATTTCCTCTGGGGTCAGGAAGGACTGAAGGGCTGGGAAGGACTGGCAGCCAAGGGGAGGAAAGTGTCTGGATCTGAGCAGGAAAAAAGGGGAGAAGTGATGTCCCCTGGTCTCACTCCTGTGACTGCAGGGACAGTGACAGCCTCTCTCCTCCACAGGGCTCCAAGTACAGCACTTGGATTGCTACTGGCGCTATCAAGTGCCCGTGAACGCTGGTGCAGGCAGGCAGGCGAGGGGAGGCTGCTGGGAGTGGGCAAAAATTCCTTGGCAGGGTTTTATCATTTTAAAGGGAACAAATTCCAATTGATTGCCCTTGTAAGAGCCTGCATGGTACTTGCACTTCTAGCCTAAGCAATAGAAATTTTAATTGCTCTGGTAATTACACTTTCAGCAATGCTGCGGTCCTTTGTGCTGGAAGTGGGAGGCCAATATCTGCTGTTCTCCGGTGGCCCCGTCTGGCTGCAGTTTGGAACAGCATTTGCCACTTGGAGGGGAAGGGACACACTCCTCCGGTGACCAGGGTGGCACTGAGCCTTGCCACGCACAGTCCCGCCCACACAGATCTCTGGGACACCGGGCACACTCCCCAGGCCAGGATGAGTTCCCATTCACTGGGATCGTCTCTGCTTCCTCCTGGTAAAGCTGCTGCTCAAGAGCTTCACGCACCCACATTCCTGCCACGAGTCTGTCCCCAATGCGGGTCCCAGCCTCGATGCTCTGCCGAGGACACTGGGCTCCAGGGCGCACATTTCCAGTCTTTCCCATGCATGAGCTTGCAGTGTGTGGCAAGCATTTCTTCTCTGGCCTGTAAACAGCTCCAAAACACGGTGCAGACACAAACGTTACATTGCTTTAACTTCTAGATACCTCTTTAGAAGGATGCAGAAGAGCTGTTATCCCCTTGGGTCCTGATGAGTTACCGTCAAAGCCTGACTAAGCTTGAGAGAACACAAGGCCTACAACTTACCCTGGGAAACTGCTAAGGAAAAATTATCACAACTGCCATGCCATTGTACGGATTACAAATTAACCCTATGAAAGGCCCAGTGCTGGAGATGTACGGTCTTTGCTCGGCCGAGCGGGAACTGTGTCTGGCACTTCACCACACTGTTCAAAGGCAATGCTCTGATGCCAATAAAGCTGCAGCGCACGTGGGCTCCTCCAAAATCACCCAGGGTACAACCAGAACTAAGCACATGCTCGGCTCAAGGGCACTTTACCTGCAAGAATACGTCAGCCATAGCACAGACCTTCATGCTTCAGTTCACTGGCCAAGGACTGACGGAGGCACTGGGCTGCACGCACGGGGCTTAGGGGGATAAGCGTGTGTGCAAACGTAGCGAGGCTCTCCCTGGGAAACGCGATCCTGCTCCCCCCCCCAGGGTGGTCAAGCAAGCTATAATATACAAAGCACGGGGCCCTGCAGGGAGGTGTAATTGCAGTTTGGATTTGTCAGACGCGCACGAAGTCTGCGTTTACTTGCAATCCCACTCATCCTGCCCGCGTCGTATTTTTCCAACCCGTGATCCCGGCTGGCATGGCTCGCGGTGGCTCGGCTCCCACGCTTGCCAGAAACGCGGGTCACAGCCATACATCTCTAAATCAACAGCTGACAACATGCCGCAGCTACTTTGTCCACTCACGGCTAAAAGCAAGGTTTCCAAGCGGAATTGCTATTGGCCTTAGCGCTTAAACAAAATAGCTCCACTCCCATCCCCGGAGTTTCCTCAAACAATGGCACAAAACACCAGGAGAGGAGGGTCTGCGGCAGAAAAAACCACGGCTGCTGATTTTTGAGATATACACCACACAATTAAAAACACTGGATCTATAAACACCCTTAGCAAACCCCAACAGGTCTGTGGGTTTTCTTTTCCTTGCTGTCCATTGTGTGCCGCCGCCTTTTAAAACCTCAAAAACAAATGCTCTTCCCTTGCTGATTTTATGCTTTTGCGCTGAACCACACGTCTCCCTGTTAGCTCGGCGGTGCTGGAGGTACCAGCTCTCCTCATCCATACCTCTGGGGCCAGGATAGTTGGGATGGGACCGTGTACCGCATGCTGATCACCCATCCACAGGTGGGAAGGATTCTCCCAGAAATGATCCCCCCTCTTGTTTAAAGACTGAGATTTCTCAGCTTAGAAAGGAGCAGGTGCTGCTCATGGATGTCCCTCTTCCTTGTCAAGACCGTTCTCGTCAGCATTTCAGAGCAGATCTAATTACAGGCTGTTCCATTCACTTACAATTTCATATACCCTCCTTTTTTAGGTTAGCCTTCAACAACTGGCAAGAAGCAGAACTATATGGGTGGAGGCAACAGGCTATGGATTTATGACATGCTGGTATTCAGGCAAAGTAACCCAGCGCGAACACAGAAATATCCTCAACTGTGCTGCTGCCGTCAATTTGATAATGAGAATGTGATTTGAAATAAAAACATCATGGGTGCCAATTCACTACGGCAGCTAGTAAAAATAGGCAGAATACCTAGAAATTGAGGACTCTGTGCTCCAAACACATCCAAAGCTTGAATATCATACGGTACCTTATAAAAACAGAGCGCGTGGCTGCACTGGGGCTACAGTACCACAAATGAAAGGCCACTCAGTGAACCCACGCACGAGCTTTAGCAGAGAGAACGGGGTGCTGTGTGTCTCTAGCTGAGCAGAGGTGAGGGCTGCCCTCCTCAGCGCTCTGCAGCCTTTGGATGCTCACCCCTAGCCCTCGCTCCCAGAGTCACCCCAGCATGAAGCAGTGCATGGTCTGGGTTGCAAACACCCCTGGGCAAAGCCTGGGTGAGTTCTGCCAGAGCCCGGCTTACCCAAGGGCTGGTCTTTTAGCCAAATAAAAGCAGCTTTTAAACGCTGCAGAAAAAAGGGGGCTGCAGGGCCTCGTGCATTTTAAAGGATCTTGCCTTTACAGGAGCTGTTCCCAGTTTCAGGTCAAGTCTGAAGCCTGCTTTAATCTACTTTTAAGTGGTACAAGCAGTTGTGATCCCTCTGCCAGAAGGCAGGGCAGTCTCCTTTCAATGCACCTTCCCCTATCTGCTGCGTGCAATCTTCCGCGGGACTTACTTGTTGCTGTCCCGGTACTGATAGATATAACAGCCTTGAGGCATCCCACTCTCCTGGTCCAAGGTAAACGAGAGCTTCAGCTGCAGAGAGGAGAGGGAGTGGGGGAGAATGAAAAGAGAGAGAGGGGGAAAAAAAAAAAAAGCAACATTTTAGGCTCTCAGTCATCATAGCAACTTCAAGCAAGGCTTGTGGGAGAAAACTTAACTCACCGAGACTGACACGCAAACACCGTGGCCTGGAACATACCGCGGGGTTCCAAACCTCAGGGAAAAGTCACATGCGTTGCAGAAACCTCTTGCTTTTTCCACACTTTGTTACTATAAAGTGTTTGTGGTTCTTCTGAAATGCATGGGTCATAACGGTTCACCCCTCCAAACCCACCCACACACACCACCCTTCACCAAAGCGATTGCGGTTCCCCTCAGACACTAAAGAAATGAGTCTTCTCCATCGGCAGCTGTAGTTCCCACGAGTCTTTCTCTGAAAACTTTCCCGGCTCCATCTCGTTCCTCCAGTGCATTAGAACAGAGGAGAAACCACAGAGGGAAAGGTGACAGATTTTTCCTTCTGTGCAGAGTTATTAAAGAGCTGTTAGAAGGGTTTGCAGTTTGGATCCGCGTCCGGCAGGAGGCTATGATGTGACCTGGAAGCTGCTTTCTGTGCAGCTCCAAGAAGGCGTTCGGCAAGGGCTTTCAGATTTCAAACACGGCTCATTTTATTTAAGGGGGAAAAATTAATCCTCTTTCAACAAGCAACAGAATGGTCCTGCGGGGAGACTTTTTTGCTGAAAATGTCTCCAGTGATTTTATACGCTGAATTGCCTAGAAAACAGCACAGGGCTGAGCCCTGCAACAGTCCTGTGCATCCCAAGCAGCCCCTCGTTCCCCAGGGGAAGGCTGCTGGCCCCAGACCAGTGTCCCACCAGCTCCCACAGCCACGAGGTGCAGCCCCTGGGCTCTGCCAAAGGGCTGCAGACCCTGACCGGGAGCCGGCAGGCTGGGTAAGAGAGACAGCGTCCTTCAGAGGAGGTAGCTGCGGTCTTTATGTGCTGAGCATTTTGGCTTTTTTCGGGTCACAGAGATTACTAGCAGCGGGGCTGTTACCACTGCTGGATCATGCAGGACTCTTGAAACAGTCTGGTAAGACCATCACAAGGGCTAAAAGTCGAAGGAGGTTTGTTGTTATAAGCCCAACCTTTTTAAACAGCGAAAGGAGGAGAGAGCAGCATCGAGCCACTCTGATCACAGACTCCTCTCCTCTGGGCTCCAAAGAAATTGCTATCTCAAATTAACGGCTTATTCAGGAATGAACACAGAATTAAAACATCTTTCTCCCGTAGGCTGTTAAGAAACCCCGTGTGCTGAATCATTAGATGGTGCACTGATTTTCCCTTCCCTAAAGGGCAGCAAAGTCATACACTGTGCTCTCACTGACCCAAATAAAACTGCATACCATGAAATCATAGAAAAATTCATCATCCTGGATACTGGCTGAGTACCAAGCTGAGGCCAAATCCAGCTGATCTCCCTTGACTTCCTTGCCCCTAACTCTGTAAGCCATTATAAAACACACGCTCCTGCGACAGCATGTATCACTCATGTCCGTGCTTTGCATGTCTCCATGGTACAAGTATTGATTCGGACCACTGTCCAGATGGCAAGCTCTTATGCTCTCAACCACTACCCCTTCCTGCAAGCTCTGATCTCACTAGAGCTTAGCAGATTCCTCAGATCCATTTTGGAGACCACTGCCAAAGGTAGAACCAGCAGGGCCAGCTGGGGACATTTCTTCTTGCTGAGATCCATGAAGCCAGGCTGCAGCTCCAGCCTTTCCAGATGCTATCATAGCACATGGAGCAGGAGATCACCAAGAAACAAGCCACCTCCCCAGGCGATTGCCTTGCTGTGGCACAAGCAAAGGTCACTTGTCCATAACTAGAGTCCCCCAGGTTTGCTGCCCTGGTTTAGGGAACTGAAGGAGGAACTGGGAACTGCCCAAAGCCATTTTTCTGGGCTAGATTTTCCAAAGCTTTCCTGCTAGAGTATCAGAAAGCACCTCTGAGGCAAAAGGGACACAGCAGTTATCTCGGGCACAGCTCCACCTGGTCCTGCACTTTGAGGAAAGGGCACCGCACTGCAGAGTCGCTAGAGAAGAAACACAAAAGAAAGTGCAAAATTGGGCAAAAGCATGGCTTTGGCCACTTTCAGCAGTATTTCTGATCA